CGGCAGCTTCATCACCTCCCTGCATTTCGTCCATCTAACCATAACCACATGCATTTGTCGTGTCTCCAGCGTTTTGCAATGTCAGTAGGTTTGCAGTGCCATTCCACTATATGTAATATTTTCTTGGTATGCATGCATTATTACTTAAGTAATAAAGAAATTAACTACTGTGCACATCACATAATATCGATGTCAGGACTACAGCACTGCAGGCAAGAATAAGTCGACAGTACAATATTGACATCCTTAACAGTGCTTTTCAGGTTTCGGTAGGAGATTCACGACACTATTTGACTGTCTTCATAGCCTATCGTGCTTTGATATTAATAATCTGCCCACAAAACTGGCGATCGCCACATTGTGTATGTCAAACAGCCCACCAAAGCTTCTGGTACGACCAGTACCAAGATAAAAAATCTACAAACAAGCCATTCACTAATCCGCCACCCAACACCGCGTTCGCGACGAGAAAAGTCGGTTGCCGTCAGCTTTCGTGTGTTTCGAGGTGTTTTTAGGTCTGGCTGCCAGATGCTGCGAGTTCTTGCTGTCGTCACAAAACCATTCCATGACGCCATTAGAGAATGACGTAATGGGGAGCATTTTTACAAGCTTCGAAATTTTGCTACTTGGGGCCGTTTTTGAACCTTGAAAGTTATCAAAAGTTACAAGCAAGCTTTTCCCATCATACCTGATGCTTATCTCAAAATTTCCAAATGTGGAACACTCCTTTTAACAGAAAACACAAGTCAAGAAATGCATCGCAGATCGGTGCTCCAGCAAGTTCGCTAAAACGGGGGACCTTCTGCGTGAGCAAATGGAACTTGTTGGTCGTCTGGCCGTCACCGCGGACGTCTTCAAGCTCGAATCATGCGAGTCGCTGCCCCAGCAGAGACCCTCCCGCATTTCTAAATAGATCAGATCTAAATAAATAATTCAAAAGCCATGAGTCACCGCACACCCCTCGCCGCAGTCCCAGAGTCAAGTAGAATGCCTGAGATGCCGTGCAAGAGAGAATGAAGCGAAAGCGCTTCTGAAATTATTTCTAAAAGGTGCTGCCTAGCGGCACGATAAATCGATCGGGGTTAGGTGAAGTGAGTGACATTTTCAGAAGGGAAGCCGCACCACAAGATTGATCATCAATTGTTTTAATTTGATATCTATGCGCGTTCAAGGCATAGTGCTCAAGGAATGTTATATGGTGAAGTGCAGTGTGGACAGTGCTGCTTATTTTTTTCGTAAAAGTTATTTGATGGTGGAGCCTCCCCCCCCCCCTCCCCCCTCTGGGACAGAGCAAGCATGCATGTTGACAGCTGAGTCACTGTTCGGATAAGTAGGAGAGCTACTCCACAAGTTTAGCTATGGCAGGCATAACGGAGCATTGGAAAAGGTGAGACAGTTAAGTGGATGTGCTCTGGCGTTTGCACCGTGAACTTCATGCCTCTATCGTGTTGTGCGGCGGAGGCGACACATGCAATGTAATTAGGGTAGATGGAGCTTGAAACGCAGGGCTGATTTGTTCATGTTGCGTCTTGATGTGGAACGTGTCCTATCCAAGTCAACGCCAGAGTTTGTCAGTCGCGGTCCTGACATGTGCTGCTGTCACTAGGTTTGCAGGTTATTTAGCCTGAGTGAGTCAGTCACGGCGCCGCATCCGTCACACATTTCAGCGCAACAGCCTATGCATGGCTGGATGTAGGTGGTGTAAACCCGAGCTAGCATGGGCCTAGCAGTGTGCCGCGCACGGGTGGGACTGAGCCCTCAATTCCCGCTTTTCGTCACCTCACTGATGTGGCCGTGGAAGCATACGTCTTCGAAAGAAGTTATCTCCGAATCTTTGTAGCCGTCCTTAGTTGGGATAGGTTTGCCTCCAAAAAGTCCTAGCCCTGTTTAGTATGGTTCCGTTCATGAATGGTGGCTGCATTCTCCTGTCTGCATGCAATGTGATGGCCCACTCCCTACCATGAACACAACTTTTGTCGAGGTTTTCTACAGTGATGTTGCATGACATCCACGTTGTCTGGGACGTGGGTGGAGTACCGCAAAGATCTGCGTCAGAAAAAAATGTCGTGTGTCGTCTTATGCGGAAGTCCCGCTGGATAAATACGCACAAAGAGTGGATTTAGCACGGCTTCTGTGGGTATTCTACATTGCTTGTCTTTGGCGTCCAAAAGGTGCTTCCCACTTCAGGTGCATTCTGTTCCTAATATTTCACTTGAACCACCAGAGGAGCAAATCAGGCATACCAATCATGTTTGGCCATTTACAGGTGTCCGCGTGTCAGATCTCGTCCGAGTCTTCATATACCAACGTAGATGGTTATGAAGTCTCACCGCGGCTCCAGTATCTGACTCAGACTGTGTGCGAGGTACATGAGTTGTGGTGTGTGGCTGTGATGGGGTCGACATCCGCTCTGTCGTTCAAGTGAAGGCTGATATGCTTGAGATAAGATAGCAGTAATAGCCTCATTCCTCGTAGAAAAAACAAGAGAATGGAGATATAGGTGCGTTAATATCTCGGCAACATGCCTGTGTCGAAACGAATGGCAGTAGTAAATTAAAACTTGCCTACCGACGAACCTATTCGATTTGCCACCGGTTTCGTCCGTGGGATATTGGTTAAGATAGTCTCTTTGGTAGCCTAGGTCATTTGCCCATGTGAATTGCTCTGTGGCATTGGCGATGTCAGCCAATACAATTCTCCTGCCAGTATAAATGAGCCGTCTGGTGGAAACATATGCATCCAATTTGTATTAGTCCCAAATTAATTTGCATCGAGGGTAATTTTTTAAAGAAAAGTTCAATTGCAAAGAAGCAAATATTGAAAATGGTCAAGATTTGAGGACGACAGCGTTGCATCCAAGCGGCCGCCAGGGCATAAAGGTGAGACGCGTTGTCGGTGAGTCCGGGTAGTTCGCTCACCAGTTGACGCTAGCCTGCCAGCCTGCCTGCCTGGCAGCCAGCCTGGCGTGTCAGCTGAGCCTTCGATCCTATGGCAAAGGGTATGCGCCGTTATGTCGTAAATATCGTCATCCCGACGATGTTTCTAGCATCGAATCCGTCAAGTACCACTGAAGTACACAATTTCGGGAAAGACATAATTGGCCTGTCACAGCGCACACAGGAAACTGCCGTCCGCTTCCGGGCTTGGCTCGCTTTGGAGGCCTAAAACCTGGTACGGGCTACTGTCAGTCCCCTTCAGATAAAAACATCCAACGGAGCACTCGCCATGCCCCCATAATGCCTTCATGCCGCAACGAACGCTGCGGCTGGCGTTGTCACGCGCCTCTTGTACGTATCTATCTCCCATGTTGGTGCTGCAAACGCAACCTGGGTGGTCCTCTGACTTCCTGGGACCCAGAAGTACTGATTGCTGCTGCAATACGTTGTCTAAGCAATGACAGGCTGGGCATCCGAAAGCAAACAGTCCAGGGCTTGCGTAAGATTCTGCGCTATATGTCTTTCAATGACAAACCATATGGACCTTAACAATGCACACCTACTTGGCCAGTCGCCGGCTGGATCCGGGACCGCACGATCTGCAACAGCCCAATCTTCCCCAAGCCGCTGTCGCTGGCCAGCAGCAGCCCCCGCCGGCCGGAACGTACAAACATCATGTGTTAGCTATGTTTGAAACATGGCGCACCGCGCCCGACCCGTCCGGCGCCCAGGGGCGCGCCGACATCGTCGGCATCCTCCGTCCGTCGCGCCGCCATGGGGCGGGGTGGGCGTGGCAGCGCGCCCCGCACTCACACACGGTCACGTGACTTTCGCCGGCCGACCAGTCCGGGCGCGACAGCAGAGCACGTGGTCTGCGTCCGCCGCCGCGCGGGCCGGCGCGCCGCTCGCTCCACGAGCAGGGTCCCACCAGGGACGCTCACGGCCTGCCGATCTGGGGCGCGTCGCAGCGAATAATCCCGTAGGATGTATTCGCAGCGCCGCGGACAGAAACAAGCCGTGCCGCTGACGTCATTCATGACGTCCAAACCCCGTGGGTTCTGCGCATTTCAGTTGTTCGCATCCACCAGAACATTCTGCGTGATGTCACGCAGAATCTTTGCCGAACGCATCGGATCTTTTCCATTTGTTTAATCGAAGAGGGACAGAGGTGGCGCAACAGGCTCATTCATTAACAAGTCGGTTTGTGCGCCCACGACCGATAACGGCTGAACAAAAGGTACTTCATCAATTACAACTAGCATAACTTGCAGTTTTCGTTCTGTGCTCGCATAGCACGTGAGCACCAATAGTGCGTGAGCACCAAAACCCAACTGTCTCGTATGCGCAGTTGTCATCACAAAAGTAACAGGAAGGTCAACAAAAAAACGTGTTGCACTGCGAACACGTCCGTCAGAGTATTCGTGGTGTCACATCGCACAGGACATGCTTGGTATGCTGCGAGTGACCCTGATGCGCTGCGAACACATCCTGGTATAAAAGGGGGAAGGGGGGGGGGGCGCCGCCCGAAAAAAAGCGCCTCCCGGCGACAGGGGCGTGTGCAGGACCGCAAAATGGGGACGCGCTGGACGCTCGCTAGCGCAGCAGGCCTGCGAGCTAGAAGCAGCACTAATGTATAATTCCGAGAGCTGACATGAGAAGCATGTTTGACAAGTCATCCATCTCAGTAGCCTTGCGCAGATCTGCAAATCTCGAATATTTGGTAAAAGGCCTCAGATTAGGCTTCGTTGCTTTGGGCGGCGGGGAAATTCGTTGCTTTGGGCGCACATTGGACCAGCAAATTCGGGGGGTGCGCCTGCTGTCCGCCGGCTGAAGCGCCGCCCCAAACAGCTGGGCCGAAAGAATCCTGTCACGCACCGCCTACTCGGCTAATCCTACCACCTTTTCTGCACGGAGACAGATGTATAAGGGAAATGTCCGATTTCTGTCAGGACATGTCGCCTTTCTCTCCACGGGATATCTGCTTTGTCCATCAGCACGCGCTCACAACACACACGACAAAGCCCGATGCCGGGGTGCCACGCTGTGGCGCCGCCTGACACTCACCGCCGAAGTGATTCCGATCAGTTTACTCCCCACGGCCACATTGTGCCGCCCGCAGCAGCAGTCGTTGGATCCCATGGTGACGCAGTCGACGTTCTCGCCCCTCCACCGTCCTGGCCCCGGCTCTGTCTGACGGCGGTCCGCTCGACAGGCAGCGTTTTCGGCGGCCAGCCAATAGCCGCCCGCCTGGCGCCGTTCGCGTACATACACACCACACACACACACACACGCTCGCTCACGAACGGCTCCGCTGGGGCTGGCGGCGGGTTGGTTCTTACATTTGATTAATTGTTTTACTGCTTCGGACCATCCACACAATATGCAGCTAGTCCTACCACAGCGTGATACAGATAAGAAATAGGAGGCACCTGGGCTGAGCAGGGCTGTTGATATCCAACCAATCGTATGCCTGCGCGTTGAATGAACGGGCACTCGCTGTGGACTACAACGCTGCGCGAGAAAACATATGTGAAGACAGCGATGAACAGCGTCAATGGTGAAAAATAGGGAACTACGAGGAGCATCAGTCATGATAGCAAGCTAGGTCACATGCTCACATTTTGATAACGCAGGCTCCAGTTCTGGTTTAAACGAGCCGAGCCGAGCCTCCGACAGACGCGGCAGGCAGCCTGCTGGACAGACAGCGGGCACGGAATGCAAAACATCGTCTGACGCCTCGGCGCGCATACGCGGCGCGTAAAGTCGATTGTCCTGCATTGTCCGTCTAGAGGGAAACTGAACTTAGGTTTGGCCGGAAAGAGCTACCCGAGATGCCGGCTCACGCCACCGCCAGGCACAGTGTGTGGGAGCGACAAAGGATCACTGCATGGAGGTAAACCAGCCTGGTCATCCCAAAACGTCCGAAATGTAATCGAATCTTCGCCCGCCAGGCACAAAACATGCCCAAAATTTCCACGCCCCTTAAAGGTGCTCGTGGTTTTTGCTATAACAGGCGCCAACTACAGATAAGCAGCACCGTACGTGTGAGAGGATCACGCCGTTCGTTACGGTGTCAATCAGGGCGGTGCAGCAGAGGGGGGGGGGGGGGGGGGGCAGAGGGGGTAGTTGTCCACCTGCCGGCAGGTAAGAGAATGCTTTTGCTCCCTCAGAATTTCTGGGAAGCCACTTTTTCCCGAACCAAATGCACTGTAACAACCGGTAGATCACCAAAAGTCAGAGTGAGGAGGCCCCCCATCACTAAGTTAAAGAGTTATACATCGAGCTCAGAAGCCCCTTTTCGCATCAAAAGGCCAATTTTCTGGACCATAAGGCGACCTTTTATGAATGGGATAGCCCATCGTCCAGATTAGTAAGCCACATGTTATGTTAAGAGAGGCCCATTTGCTGGGTCAGGAGGCCCCCAGTTGCCAACTAGGAGGCTCCTGTCCTAGTTGAGGCGGCACCCTTTATATTTAGGAGACCCCATTTCTGGAACAGGAAACCTTTTTCATTCAGGATGCCCAGCATGCAATGGCCAGGATGCCCGTGCTTCAGGATGCCCTGGCTTGGAATAGCAAGGCCCCTTAGCTAGTTTCGGAGACCCTTCGTGAATTGGAAACATCCTTTTCTTAGGCTTAGGAGACCCCTGTAAGCACCGGGATGGCCTTTTCTGGAACAGGAAGTCATGTTTTAGGATAGCGGGGCCCTTCGCTGGATAATCTGAAGGTCCTCATTCTGATTTTTAATTGTTGAGATTGATTTACTTGGATATGATACATGTAACAGCTTAATAAGGGGCACATGCCCCCGGTGGCCTTCCCCCTTAAATACGACACTGCCTAGGGGCCCCGCCCTGTGAGGGGTCCTCGTTTTGTCCCGGAGGCCCGCTGGAGAATCCTGCCCTAGAACACAAAACCCATGGTGCCGGCCATGGTGGCAATCACGACTTGAGGAAAATACCGAGTGTGACCGACTTCGACCAGTAGCCCAAAGCAGCTGTTTGACCATTAGCCCAAAGCAGCCGTTTGACCATTAGCCCAAAGCAGCTGTTTGCAACATGCGCTATACTGGCGTCCTGAGCCAGGCATACATCGACGGTACCAGCCAGGTTCCACACGGAAACTTCAGGGCTGATGGTCTGTTCACGGAATCTTCAGGGCTAGTGGTCTGTTTACGGCAGCTTCAAGGCTGATGGTCTGTTCACGGCAGCTTCAGCCTGATGGTCTGTTCACGGAAGCTTCAGGGCTGATGATCTGTTCACGACATCTTCAGGGCTGATGGTCTGTTCACGGCAGCTTCAGGCTGATGGTCTGTTCACGGCATCTTCAGGGCTGATGGTCTGTTCACGGCAGCTTCGGGGCTGATGGTCTGTTTACGGAAGCTTCAGGCTGCTGGCCTGTTCACAGAAGCTTCAGGCTGATGGTCTGTTCACGGCAGCTTCGGGGCTGATGGTCTGTTCACGGCAGCTTCGGGGCTGATGGTCTGTTCACGGCAGCTTCAGGGCTGATGGTCTGTTCACGGCAGCTTCAGGCTGGTGGTCTGTTCACGGCAGCTTCAAGGCTGATGGTCTGTTCACAGAAGCTTCAGGCTGATGGTCTGTTCACGGCAGCTTCGGGGCTGAAGGTCTGTTTACGGCAGCTTCAGGCTGATGATCTGTTTACGGCAGCTTCAGGGCTGATGGTCTGTTCACGGCAGCTTCAGGCTGATGGTCTGTTCACGGCAGCTTCAAGGCTGATGGTCTGTTCACGACAGCTTCAGGGCTGATGGTCTGTTCACGGCAGCTTCAGGCTGATGGTCTCTTTACGGCAGCTTCAGGCTGATGATCTGTTTACGGCAGCTTCAGGGCTGATGGTCTGTTCACGGCAGCTCCAGGGCTGATGGTCTGTTGACGGCAGCTGATTCGATGCAGTGAATACTACTGATGATCCGTTGACTGCCACACTCCATCAACTGAGTTCCCGATGCGTTTATGTTTGAGGTGTTAGCTCTGAACCGCGCGTCCATGGAGGTCAAAGAGCGTTTCATGCGATCATCCAGAGCACCTGGATCATCTTTTGCCCCCGACACTAAAATTTGCGTGTCGTCGGCGCAGTGGACAACATGGCCTCCGGGGCGAAGTGCCTCACATCTCGGCAAACACGCTTTACAGCAATGGCCCCAGGACAGAAGGCTGGACAACACCAGCGCTGTTCTGTAGCAGCAGCAGCCGAGACAGGTGCCCGCGCCCGAATCTCAATCCTGAAACATCTGAAATCCTGAACGGGATTTCATACGTGCTTGGAATGTCACTACGAACACATTTTTCTGTCGGTAACCCTGAAGTCAGCGTTACTGAAATAGCGAAGACGCTCATGCTACTAGCTTGGAGCTCTGTTTGAATGTTTTTTTCTTGGCTTCTGGGAATTCGGATGACATGCAATGTTGAACTGGGTTATAGCATTGCTTTCTCTCTCAGCTATGCTAAAAAGTGCAAGCACCCGATGACCGCATGGTAGATATCAGCTCGTTCCGTTGGCTGCCTAAGTTCGCACATGTGAGCCACATGGACTTATGACCTAGTCTCGAGCTGTGCGGTCTCCAAGCAGGCCTCGTGACAGCTCAAACATCAGCCCTCATACGGGCGCACTCCCAAGCTTAACAGCCTCCATATTAAACAATTGCTCGAAAGTGACGGTGACGGAAATGAACGCCCTTACGTCGTGGGGAGCTTGGCTGTCGTTGATGTCATTGGTACCTCCATGAGTGCCCACTGGAGCAGTGCAGTGTGCAGTATGAGCAGCGTGCAAATACGCATCAAACTTGCAAAGGAACCCAGGCGAGTCGGTGCAGTGGGCATTCGTAACCGTCGTCTGTGCATTTCATCACTTCATTGATGAAAGGGGCAATAAATTAGGCGAGAATTAGATGAGTTAGCTCGAAAAGAGCGGGTAATTCCGCCATCATGCGAATAGTGGAAAGTACAGCTAGCCTGACTCACGCGTCGTCGAAGGGCCTCATGTCAGTTGTTTGTGAACAGCTGCTGCTTACCGACTAAAACCCATTTGCATGTGTTTGCTCTTATCGTGCCCGGTATACAAACCTTCAACACGGTTTGCTTTAGTGTGACGGCACTTCGACGACAATATATGATCACAAAATATTTACAATGTACATTCTGTTCCGTCGATTAATTTCCGCAACGGTCGTTCCTCATTTCACCACTTTTTTGCACGCAAATGAAAAACACTTCAGGCTGGTGGCGTATCAGTGAAGCATTACTGGGCTGATTGTGTATGGATAAGGCATCGCCGGGCTAGTGGCGTGCTAATGAAGCATCAAGTAGCAAGCAAGGGCTGATGGCGTATTCATGAAGCATCACTAGGCTGGTAGTGTATCATTGAAGCATCACTGGGCTGGTGGTGTATCAATGAAGCATTACTGGGCTGATGGTGTATGGATAAAGCATCACAGGGTTAGTGGCGTACTAATGAAGCATCACTGGGCTGGTGTTGCATCAATGAAGCATTACTGGGCTGATAGTGTATGAATAAAGCATCACTGGGCTAGTGGCGTACTAATGAAGCATCACTGGGCTGGCGGTGTATTCATGAAGCATTCCTGGGCTGGTGGTGTATCAATGCGAACCAAGAACGACCTGAAAGAAAACTTGCCGGATGGGGGAACAATTTCGTATTTATTAGCCGGCATTGGCAGGCTAATAAACCAATCACTTCGTTGAAATTTGTGACTGTTGCAAACCCCCTGCTTGGGGGTTTTCTTTGAGGAAACCAGTTTGTTGGCGCACTTATACCGATTATGTGCTGATGAGGTGAAACAATTTCAGTCGACGAGGTTGATTTTTTACCAAGTTAACCGTTTTAGCTCCTGTGGCTAAGGCGTGACGAGAAACGCATACTTTTCGATTTTATTCGTCTTGATGCAGTGGACTACATGTCTGTACAGTTTCCTTGGTCTTATCTCGGCTCAGGTTGCAGTGAGTGGCTTGGGCTTCAGTGTGTGCATGGCTTAGGCCTGAGCGTGTTGTTTTCGAGGCCGATGGACGTCCCTTAACGGGCCATGTCGGCCCATGTAATGCAAACGACCCGTGTTGTGTTCGCAAACTGCAAATGTTCAGCTTCCTCAATGTTGCTTGAACTAGTAGTTCGTCAGGAAGGGCACATGTCGTTCATGTTGTCGTTGTCAGATCTGATCAAACAACCGCCTTTTAAATGACATGGGAGGTGTGCCATGCGTGTGTGTCATGTGACAATGACATGTGTCATGCGTTAGACCGCACACAGGTCAATTTGACGAGTAAAGTCGCGCTGTTGATGCTGAGACTGTATCAGCCGCGATTTGTGGTTAACGTTCGAATCGCGTCGGTTTTGCTGAGGCGTTCTAAAACATTTTGCCGTGTCTGTTGGGTAAGATAATCATGTTTTTACATTAAACAATGTTAGATTGTCGCAACCGCTTCTCAATCTTGACTTGTCTCGTGGAAGGAAGCTACCAGAAATTCAAAACATATCTTTAAACGCAATTCACCCCCTGAGAGAGGCGCAGCCCACAGTCGTGTTGGTGCGGGATGCGTCCCTGGCTCACCTCCGGAGAGAGGCGCAGCCCACAGTAGTGTTGGTGCGGGATGCGTCCCTGGTTCACCTCCGGCGAGAGGCGCAGCCCACAGTAGTGTTGGTGCGGGATGCGTCCCTGGTTCACCTCCGGAGAGAGGCGCAGCCCACAGCGGTGTTGGTGCGGGGTGCGTCCCTGGTTCACCTCCGGAGAGAGGCGCAGCCCACAGTAGTGTTGGTGCGGGATGCGTCCCTGGCTAACCTCCGGAGAGAGGCGCGGCCCACAGCGGTGTTGGTGCGGGATGCGTCCCTGGTTCGCCTCCGGAGAGAGGCGCAGCCCACAGCGGTGTTGGTGCGGGATGCATCCCTGGTTCACCTCCGGAGAGAGGCGCAGCCCACAGCGGTGTTGGTGCGGGATGCATCCCTGGTTCGCCGCCCTCAGTGGCTGTCGCCGGCCTTCCGCCGACGCCGCCGCCGGCAGCGGCGCCATGCCGCCACTTCCCCGGCAAGGCCAAACGAACGGCGCCCGTGGCGGCGGCGAGCAGGGGCGGACCCACGGAGCGGTGAGGGTGTGGAGGAAACAGCCGCTGCCGACCTCGCCGGTCCAACAGGTCCGACAAACGGCGGCAGCTCTCAGACAGACCTGTCAAGCGGCGACGGCTGATCTTCGGACAGCCAAGGGGGACGGTCCGCAGCGAGAAGCAGAAGTCCCGGCAGCTTCGTCGCCGGCAGGCACGGCCGTCTCCAGCCCGAGGAAGACGGCCCGCAGCGAGAAGCAGAGGTCCCGGCAGCTTCGTCGCCGGCGAGTACGGCCGTCGCCAGCCCTCCGGTCGTCAGGGGATATCGGCGACGGCGAGGGCAGAGCCGGGTCATCACAGCGCTGACCTCTTCCCGTGTCCTCGCGCAGCCCTGTCTCACTGGGAGTACGCCGAGGTCGTCAACCTTGGCTGCTGCCCCGGTTGGCTGCCCGCCCGCGCTGCACCGCCCTCAAGCACGCGAACATACCCGGCCTGTGACCGGTGTGTAAGGTCAGCTTTAATGTTGTCGATGACCTCCGGTGGTTTCAGCATCCCGTCGCCTTTTGTCCACTGTTAACATCTCATAGGCCTGAAATTGTTAATCATGGCCGAACACAGAAGCGAATAGCCAGTCGCCAGCGGTCACTGCAGTTGGCGCTGCCAGGATTGCGGTGTATGGAATAGCGTGGCTACTGGGTGGCCAAATTGGCGGCGTCAGGAGGCGGATTGGGTGGGGTGGACAGGACGGACATTGTGGACAGTGTGGACAGTGTGAACAGGGTGGACAGGGCGGACAGGGCGGACAGGGCGGACAGGACGGACAGGACGGACATTGTGAACAGTGTGGACAGGGTGGACAGGGCGGACAGGGCGGAAAGGGCGGACAGTGTGGGCAGGGTGGGCAGGGCGGACAGGGCGGACAGGACGGACAGTGTGGACAGTGCGGACAGAGTGGACAGGGTGGACGGGGCGGACAGGGCGGACAGGGCGGACAGGGCGGACGGGGCGGACAAGTCGAACAGTGTGGACAGGGCGGACAGGGCGGACAGGACGGACAGGACGGACGGGGTGGCCACGGCGGACACGGCGGACATCGATAAATAGACAGTGTGGACAAGGTGGACAGGGCGGCCAGGGCGGACAGGACGGTCAGTGTGGACAGGGTGGACAGTGTGGACAGGGTGGACAGGGCGGACAGGGTGGACAGGGCGGACAGGGCGAACAATGTGGACAGGGTGGACAGGGCGGACAGGGCGGACAGGACGGACAGTGTGGACAGGGTGGACAGTGTGGATAGGGTGGACATGGTGGACATGGTGAACAGAGCGGACAGGGCGGACAGGACGGACAGGGTGGCCACGGCGGACACGGCGGACACGGTGGACAGGGCGGACAGGACGGACAGGGCGGACGGGGCGGACAGGGCGGACAGGGCGGGGGGGGGGGGGGAGGCGGGCTGACGGGACCGGAAGCGGTCGGCTATCGCCGGCCGAGGCTGCACCTCCGCTATACGCCGTCTCCCGTTTCATTTCATGTAGTGCGGCGGAAGCTGCTGGCTGATACGAGAAAATGGCCGAGGAGTTCTGAGAGTTTGCTCTGCTGTCGGGGTGACGATGAGCAGTGTCGCACTCGCCGGCTCCGCGTGCCGCTCCGCTGACGAGGGACTGCAAGCTCCTGGTGAAGAGTCTGAGGGCAGGCCCGCCCGTTACTGCCAGGAAACCTCCGGCGGCAGCACTTCCGGCTTCTGCGCGGCCCGGCACACCTGAGAGTTCGTGGGACGCAAGAACTCGTCTCCCAGCGCTTTGTGTGGCCTTCCATTCGCCGGGATGGCAATGAATGGTCCCAGGCGTACACCTTGTGCCAACGTGTCAGGGTATACCGTCACGCATGGGCCCTGACACATGGCTTCACGTCGCCTGGCGCCCGTTTTGACACCGTCCGCATCGACATTGTCAACCCGCAGCCCCCGTCGGATGGTCATAGTACCTGCTTACGTGCGTCGACCGGGTCATCCGCTGGATGGAAGCCATTCCTATGGCGGGCATCCGGGCGGCCACGACCGCCCGCACGTTCGTCGTCGGCTGGGTGGCACGGTCTAGAGTACCGGCACAGGCCACCACTGACGGCGGTGCCCAGTTCGAGTCCGGCCTGTGGCAGCACCTGTCGGCGCTCCTTGGCTGCCTTTCGCACCGCACCACCAGCTACCACCTGCAGGGTAACAGCATGGTGGAGAGGTTGCGCCGACAGCTGAAGATAGCTCTGCGGGCGGCAGGCGCGGCGACTCGCTGGACCGATCTCCTGCCGCTGGTTCTGCTGGGCGTGCGTTCATCTCTAAAAGACGGCATGGGTTGCACGTCTGCTGAGCTCGTGTGCGACACAATGCTGCGACTCCCGGGGGGAGTTTTTCACCCACTAATCCGGCAGGGCACCACTGGACCCAGCGTCATATATCGACACCCACCGACCGGCCATGCGGCACCTCCGCCCGGTGCAGCCTCGCCAGCCGCCGTCAGCAGCCATCTTCATCCCCAAAGACCTGTCGGACTGCGCGCACGTTTTCGTCCGACGAGGCGCTTACCGCGCACCGCTAGGACCGCCCTAGGACCGCCCTACGGCGACCCGTTCCATGTCTGCAGGCGGCCATCAAAAACCGTCATCACCCGACGCAAGAACACAGCGGAAGTCCACTCCGTGGAGCGCGTGAAGCGGCTTACCTCGCGGCCTGCGTTGGCCGGGAACCTGACACAATGAAGGCCCCTGTGGTGGTCCTGGGCCCACAGTGTCTTACAGCGGGCGCTATGTCAGCCAGGGGGACATTTGCTAAACAGGAACAGGGACAGGCACACCGAATGCCAGAGGGCTTCTCGCGTTGGTCGGGGCCCTCTGTCAACGAAGCTGGACGTGAGAGTTTACAATGAGAGCCCACAGTGCGGAAATGGAGGCCCCTTCATTAGCCAGGGGTCCCAGCACCGAGCGCGGGGCTCTCCCCCCGCTTTCAGCCAGGGGCCCGTTATGTGGAGCTGGAGTTTCTGCGCCAGTTATTGGACACAAGCGGCGATAAGGGATCGTCTTGCATCAGTTAGGGTCCTACGTCTATCCGAAGCCAAATACCCAGGTCAGGGGCCTCCGGTGTAAAGCGAGCGACTAAAGCGCGAAAGTCCGACACAAACGAGGATGTCTTCTCTTGTTCAGAATCAGCATGTAAAACATAATGAATGTAGAGTTTTGAGCCCTTGTCCTCGCAGTCTTAGGAACAAGAACGCCTATGGTCGGGCTACAGGTTTTGTCAAACCCAACGGCGTTACCACGGTTACTAACACCGGGCGAAAGGCGCCCGGAGCGCGACAACAGCCGTCGTCAAATAGGCTTTCCGTAGAATCTCAAAAATGAATTCGTGCCATTCAAAAGTTATACTGAGGTATTAATTTCACCTATACATTTTTAAAGTTTTCCTGTGTACAGATAAACTACCTTTACTCGTCTAGCTCCATCACCAAAGCCCAGCATCAGTTCACGGTGCTGTGAGTGCCGATCCGTTCATATCATTAATCTAAAAATTGCACAGGTAAAGCATGTTCCTAGACTACCTTATTATTGAACGAAATGATGAAACGAAATGAATGAATTCATGAAAATGCAACGATTAAAACCACTTCTTTTAGAAACGTTGCCATTTTCGTCCATCCGTTGGCCGTCACTCAACACTAACCGCTGAGTCAAAGCCGCGCGGTTCACAGAGACTGCAACGCCGGGTGGCGGGGTTTTGTTCTTAGACTTGCCAGCGTGCATGGTCAAAACTATGCTTTGTAATTCTTCCATTATGCGATTTTGAACAGAGACTGGACTTTCCCAGACCAACATTGGTTGAACACATCAGCATTAAGTTATGACCCCACTTCGAGCTAAAAGCTATGTTCACTTATTATCTACGCCCACAATGTCTCCATCCAACCACTAAAAACTCTGGCCCGGCGCCTCAGTGCTATCAGCTTAGAAAAAGCCCACTGTGTCGTGGTGCGATAGAAAGTGCCAGTGGTTTTCTCTATGCGGGTAGTTAACGCCTGGCTCCTTCAGGTTATCTGCTTCAAAATACAAACATAATTGTATCTTTTGGCAACTTCTGGCTTCTGTTTAAATTAAAGAAGGTAAATATTAAGAGAAAACGAAGAGAATTGTGCCCCTCGAAATCAGGTGGGTCGTATCCGGTGACATTTTCGGGTGGGAGCCTCTCACAGGAGAGAGCTCTTTATCAACCCCGTGCCCCTCCCCTAAGACTCTGGGAAGGGGAGGAGGGGGGGGGGGGGGGGCTCAGGATTCTAGCTGCGCCCCTGCGTGGGTGGGCTCATTGTGCACCGAGTATGCGTACATGAGTATTTCCGCACGCCCACTGAAGAGCCAGCTCAATAGCCACGTTGTTACAATAAGCCCGCGTTGCGTATGACATTCACGTGACGGACCTTTTATTTTCCACCCATGTTAACTCAAGCTGGCGAAGGTCGCTTTCCCTTCAAAAGCGCAACAGCTTGGAACAGCGTCCCCCAGATGTACAGGGGCTCGTAATGCGTGTTTAATGAAACGTGCGGGGAAAAGGCATTATCAACAGAAGAGCACCTACCTAAGCGTCTTTGGGGAAAGGCTGAGGACCATGTTCCGGAATGATGCATGAAGGTGTGTTATTGTCTTGTTTCTTGTTGACTTTGATGCATACGTTTCATTGGTGACAAGTTAGTCAGTCGAGAACCTGCGTGAAACGGAGGGCTTGATAGCCATGCAAAGTGTGGACACTCACTTCTGGTAAATGCGTGAATGAATGCACAACAAATTACCTAAGTGCATAATGGTAAAGCTTGCGCAGATTTCCCCTGCAGCAGGTACACAAGAGACAGGTGTAGTGACACCCCTTCAGTTTCCGGACGCTGGCGTGTTATGAGAAACTGATGCAGATTGCCAGGCCTCCGCATGGGTTTGAGGTGGCCACGCACATGCGATTCTAAAGACACGTAGTCAGCAGACATGCGCTTGGTTCCCAATATTTCTTCTTGGGGACCAGTTCCTGTTTCCTGGCTCCGGAACAAGGAAGAACCCAGCAATCAGTCTGGTATTAGGCCGAGGGATCCAGTAACCAGGATCCAGCCTCATATCGAGCCGAAAGATCCAGCAAGAACGGGGACCCAGCCTCATGTCTAGTCCAAAGATCCAGCACGAACCAAAGTCCAGCCTGACATTAAGCCGAAAGATCTAGCAAGAACCAAGTCCAGCAGATAAATAGATAGCGTAAAGAAAATAGAGTAAAAATAGCATAACTGAGTACAGTAACTTTAGCGGGAAGCAATTTGGCGGTACAAAATCACCTTCCACGAGTTTTCGCTTTCAAGTAGTTTCCTCACGATACATAGCACGTGTTGTGTGTTCGTGGAAGTGAAGGGAAGTACGCCGGCATTTTGTAATTTGCTTCAAAGCTGCGGTGTGCATATCGGAATGTTCGGTATTTTTAGTTAAACTTAAGTCATGGTGGATGTTACCTGCCATTACTGTGTGATAATTGTGATTTTAGGTTAGGGTCTTGTGTTTTGAGAGTGGCAAATGATTGACGAAATGTCGACGAAGCATAAAAATGAAGCAGTCAGGAGGTTCACTTGAACTGTTCTTATAATGCGTCTGGCTTCTGTTCTTAACAAGCACAACCCAAATACCTACTTAATGAGCAAGATTGGAAGTGTATTACGGAAAAGACACTGTTACGGAGACATTGCTAATTTCAACGGCCAATATATATATATATATATATATATATATATATATATATATATATATATATATGGTCATATCCGGTAACTTTTTTGTGCATCTCCCCTTATGGTGACTTTCATGACTCTGCCTCCGCCCCCTTACTTCGAAAAAGCGACACCCATCAGGGGCAGCTGCCATCGATTTGAGGCACGCACGTTCGTGGTGCTTTGAGCACTTTCGGTGCTTTTAGAGAAGAAACTGCCATTGAGCCCGCTCACTTCGACCGTTGGCCGCCACCACGCTGCGTAATACGGGGAATCGACCGTAAGCTGAAGCCGCCGGCCGCGGAGCGGCGCGCGGCAGGGGGACAAAGCCTGTCGGAAGCACTCCAATGCGTCTCTGACTTCATACTAGTGTTTGTGTGTGCATCTGTAGAATTCTGCCGTGTATCAGAATAACTTTTCCAGAATGGCAACCCCATCGGACTTCCCCTTTTACCTCACATTTGATCTGTTCTTCATCAGGGGCCAATTGGGCCGGGTTTGACGTCACATACCACTACTTAAGCCTTAATTATAGACTACCTGCGTGTCCCATGCCTAGCCTAGACAATTCCCGTTCGGCTGCGGACGCAAACATGTTGATGTCTTTGATATTGATCTTTCCAGCTGTGTTGACAAGGATTATTTTCAGAACATTCCGTTGCTCTTGCATCCTTGGGAGCAGAGCAGTGTGGGCGAAGGAGGGGAGGGGGGATAGGGGAGGTCTGGACCCCTTACCCGGGCACACCGTTCAGACAGATCTTTCAGGACCCTCGCTTGTCCGGAGTGGGGCTGTTTGAATGCCTGTGACGCCGGCGGGTGCGTGCAGGGCCCGCTGTGCGTCGCGTTAGCACCGCTGGCGGCATGGCGGCCGCATGGCTGGACTCCACGGCTGAACCGGCTTATCGCGGGGGTGGGGGTTGGGGAGGGGGAGCTGGCGTGACGGAGCTGAGGCAGTGCGTGTCCACCCGACGCTCGTGCCGTTTGATATGCCGGATGACCCCGATCGAAGAGAAGGTCACGCGTCCACGGCCCGGTCAGCCCGGCGGCCCGCCTGCGCGAACGCTGTTTTCAAATATGTGCAGGGGTGTGTGGAACTTTGTTACAAAATATGTAACAATTTTCTCACAGATCTATCGAAATGTAGCAACAGCGATGGAGGTTTGACTGCTGAGGAGAGGTTTTAGTTTAGTTTTAGGTTCAGTGCAGCGTACTAAAAGTGGGTCGAAGGTGGTAAGTTGGCTTTTTTATCGTTTTGAAGGTCATTGACAATTGGAACCTCTTAGATCCATCAGCGAGATGAGCAAGGCGTCGGGCTACCCTCTGGTCAGAGCTGGTTATATAGCTGCTCTTGGATGAAGTGTCAGCTTTTGGAAAAAAGCACATATTAGGCATGTTGTTGCTTGCAAGGATGTGCAACAATGAATGACCAGGTTTGCAGGACTAAGCACGCTTTATTCTTA